AATTTGGGAAAGTAGTTTCAGAGGAGAAGATTATTGTAAAAGATTACAAAAATTACGAAAAATTGTTAAAATTTGATTATAAAGGGCAATAACTCCTTAAGGGGTCAATTGAAAATTTTGGTCATGTTTGACTTATTTGTAGATCTTACTTTGCTGAACGTTATTGCTGTTTACAGTTTATCTCTATCTATAATAATGTTAAAGATAATAACCAAAAACTGCAAAATTTCCTTAAAATTACTTATTCAGGGGCAGCAACCCAACAACGGGTTGTCTGATTCGTCTGAAAATTTCAGGGCAGATCGATCTAAACCTGATGAACATCTTTATTCGTGTTGTATTTGCTCTAAATGCTTTAGTTTCAGAGATATCAGCCGAAAACTGCATTTTACCCCTATGTTCTATTTTTAGCCATGTCGGCCATATTGGTTGGCAGGCGGAGTCATAGGACACTTTTTTTTAAGTAGATACCCTAATGATGAGTGTGGCCAAGTTTGGTTGAATTTGTCTATGTTGTTTCAGAGGAGAACATTTTTGTAAAAGATTACAAAAATTTACGAAAATTTGACTATTAAGGTCAATAACTCCTTAAGGGGTCAATTATTTTGGTCATGTTGACTTATTTGTAGATCTTACTTTGCTGAACATTATTGCTCTTTACAGTGTATCTCTATCTATAATAATATTCAAGATAATACCCAACAAGAGGCTGTCAGAGTGACAGCAAACCGGATATCCTGCAGAGGTCGAACCCTAAACAGTTGAGCAAGTATGGACACTACATTTAAGCTTAAAACAGATCTGAATTTGGTTTGCGACTGAATATTTGACACAGCATAGGTTGGTGACACAAAATGAATGTGGTCAAAGAACTGAAAAATTTGAAATTGGACATTTACCTACTAGTATTATGGTCCAATATCCTAAATCTAAGTACATTGTTAGAATTAGCATATTAAAGAACCCAAGAATTCAGTTTTTTATGAAATCAAACAAAAGTTTAATTTAGAACTCTTTGGACCTCAATGTGGACCAATTTGATAAAGAAGCCCAAAATCTCTAAATACATGGTTAGATTCAGCATTTCAAAGAACCCCATAAATTCAATTTTCGTTAAAATCAAACAAAGTTTAACTTTGGACCCTGATTTGGACTAACTTGAAAACTGGGCCCAAAAATCCAATATTTAAATACACAGATTTAGATTCAGCATTAGAAAGAACCCTATTTATATTTAATTTATGTTGAAATGAAACAGTTTCATTTTATCCATATACTTATTAATTTTCTGTTCAAAGGGAAATAACTCAACTGAATAAATGATATAAAAATAGTTCTCTAAAATTATATATGATGTTATATATTTACTTTCAAATTATAATCAATTAAATATCTGCTTAGATTCAGCACATCAAAGAACCAAAACTATTCATTTTTTTTAAAAATTCAAACATAGTTTAATTTTGGACCCTTTGGACCTTAATGTGGACCAATTTGAAAACAGGCCCCAAAATTAAAAATATAAATACATGATTAGATTCATCATAACAAAGAACACCAATAATTCAAATTTTTGAAGAAATCAAACCCTTTGAACATTAATATGGATGGTAAAAGTGAAAATCATCAATATCAATCTTGACCTCCATTTTGTCATCAGTAACAACATATTAAAATTTGAAAAGCTTTGGTTGAATGGTTCATGAGTTTAAGCACGGACACAACTGGAAACACAATTTTTCAATCTTTCAAGAACCATAACTTCTGAACGGTGAGAGTGAAAATGGTCAATATTGAACTTGACCTCCATTTTGTCATCAGTAACAACATATTAAGATTTGAAAAGCTTTGGTTGAAAGGTTCATGAGTAAATGCACTGACACTGTTTGGCAGCCGCCTGCCTGCCCGCCCCCGTACATCACCAAATTAATAACCGATTTTTTTTTATAAAATCCGGTTAAAAACTGCATTACGGTAATTTCCTTAAAATAACTAATTCAGGGGCAGCAACCCAACAACGGGTTGTCTGATTCGTCTGAAAATTCCAGGGCAGATAGATCTATACCTGATGAACATTTTTACCCCATGTCAGAATTACTCCAAATGCTTTAGTTTCAGAGATATAAGCCAAAAACTGCATTTTAAAACTATTTTTCTATTTTTAGACATGGGGGCCATGTTGGTTGGTAGGCAGGGTTGTCGGACACATTTTTAAAACTAGATACCCAAATAATGATTGTGGCCAAGTTTGGTTAAATTTGGCCAAGTAGTTTCAGAGGAGAAGATTTTTGTAAAAGTTAACAGATGACGACGACGGACACCGGACGCCAAGTGATAAGAAAAGCTCACTTGGCCCATAGGGCCAGGTGAGCTAAAAAGGAGAGATATCATGATTGCCAATGACTCAACTATCCACCACCTGAGATCATAGAACATGAGCAAAACTCATACCTAAATTAAACAAGCATTTTGAGAGTATTGCATAGCAATACATAGTCCCCTACTGGGTAAAAATTCATTATACTGGAACAAAATGCTAACTTGTTCTATAACTTGTCATGGTGTAAACATAAGTAAATATCATGTCAATATCTTCAAGCATGACTAAAAACAGTATTGAAAACTGATTATATGAGTGAATTTTTCAAGTCCAAGGACCATAACTCTGCACAAAATTATTAGACCAAAACAAAAATTTGAACATGATCTGTTACTTGTCATGATAAAACTATATACCAATTATCAATCAATATCTTATAAGCATGATGAAAAAAAACATTAGATATGATTAATAATTCTCTAGAATTAGATATGATGTAATACAGTGTATATCTATTTCAAATTATAATCAGATATAATTAATAGTTCCAAATATTTTTTTTTTTCATTTGTCACAAACTAATATAGATTTGTAACTTATCTATAAAATGCCAACAACCTTTATCTACACAATGTAATGTATTAAAATATATACATTAATAAAAATAGATTATTATCTAATTAAAGGATTTCTCTCCATAATTTTTTTTTATATATATAGCATTCAGAAAATTAGTTTATACTAAATAACAAACAAGCCTGTCAAAAAATTCTTCAAATAATTTAACAAAGAATGTCTTTTAAAAAATGAGTTATCTCCCTTTGTAAAGAAATATGGTTTAACATAGTACTCTAACATTAGATATGGTCCAGAGTTATGGTCCATAACTCTGGACTAAATCATCAGACCGGAAAATTTGAACTTGATCTATAACTTGTCATGATAAAACTATATACCAAATATCAAATCAATCAATATCTTCAAGAACGAAGAAAAAAAGGGTGGAAAGCTGATTTGCCAGACTGACGGATGGACAGACGGACAGATGGACAGACAGACAGACAGACGGACAGACGGACGGAGTGCAAACCTAAAGTCCCCTTCGACTTTGTTGGTAGGGGACTAATAAATGGGAATGTGTACATGGGACACAGATGATGCCCCGCTTGCATACCATACAAGTTTATAAAGGGACATAACTGAAGAACAGTAAAAGTGATGCTACCCAAATTTGTACTTGATCTGAGTTTTGTGGTAATAAGTATTATGTATAAGTTTCATAACATTTGGTTGAGGCTAACATAAGTAAGAGAATGGAAACGAAAAAAACAGCAATTTTTCCATTTGTAAAGGGGCATAACTCTAGAATGGTTAAAGTGACACCACCAAAATTCAAACTTGATCTGTATTTTGTGGTAATAAGCATTGTGCATAAGTTTCATAACATTTATTTGAGGCAAACTAAAGTAAGAGAATGGAAACGAAACATTCAGCAATTTTTCCATTTGTAAAGGGGCATAACTCTAGAACGGTTGAAGTGACGCCACAAAAATTCAAACTTATTCTGTATTTTGTGTTAATAAGCATTGTGTATAAGTTTCATAACATTTGGTTGAGGCTAACATAAGTAAGAGAATGGAAACGAAAAATTCAGCAATTTTTCCATTTGTAAAGGGGCATAACTCTAGAATGGTTAAAGTGACACCACCAAAATTCAAACTTGATCTGTATTTTGTGGTAATAAGCATTGTGTATAAGTTTCATAACATTTGGTTGAGGCAAACTAAAGTAAGAGAACAGAAACGAAACATTCAGCAATTTTTCCATTTGTAAAGGGGCATAACTCTAGAACGGTTGAAGTGACGCCACCAAAATTAAAACTTGATCTGTGTTTAGTGGTAATAAGCATCGTGTGTAAGTTTCGTAACATTTCGTTGAGGCAAACTAAAGTAAGAGAACGGAAACGAAAAATTCAACATTTTTTCCATTTGTAAAGGGGCATAACTCTAGAATGGTTAAAGTGACGCAACTAAAATTCAAACTTGATCTGTGTTTTGTGGTAATAAGCATTTTGCATAAGTTTCATAATATTTGGTTGAGGCAAACTAAAGTTAGAGAACGGAAACCAACTTTGGGACGTACGTACGTACAGACGGACAAGGGTAAAACTTAATGCCCCCTCCGCTACAGCGGGGGCATAAAAATAAAAGGCATGACAAAACGTAAACCATTCATCACCTGGTTTATGCTTAAACAATAAAGAAAACCCAAATATGGCAGACAGCAACCACTAAATTATAGGCTCCTGACTTTGGACAGAGACATAAAGAAAGTGGTGTGGTTAAACATGTTTGTGAGTGCTCAATCATCCCCCCTTACCTGGGAAAGGGGTAAAACAGCACAACATAAGAACAAACTTACTTTTTCACCACAATTTTCAATGTATATTAAACCCTTGTGATACACTTTCTAGTGGTTTTGGAAAATCATGCCAAAGTCTGGTTGACAAATAAAATAAAATGTTCACAAAGCCTTCATTTCCCTAAATTTCCAAATTGATATCAAGGTCTGGACTTAGATAAACAATGGTCTCTATACTCCTCCCAATTCAGTATTCAAAAGGAGAAAGGCAAAAGAAGAGCCTATATTGAATACATCAAATAAATATTTAAATCAAAAGCAATATTGAAAATATTTATTAACAATACACTCCTGCATTTACATTTTAAACATGATTAGTGTTCCATGATCTATGTCATTTAAAACACTTACTTTATAAATAAGCACTTTTATTCAAAATATATTATATTATTTTAAACAACAGAAAACCAATAAAAATCATATATACTTGCATTAATAGCACTATTGCAACAAACACATAATTTAACAAGAAATATAAAAACTGCTGGCTAAATAAGGGTCAGTTTAATTAAAATTGCTCATTTCACCTGCTCCTCATTTTCACCCTTGACATAAAAATAAGCAAATGAATATGAGGTGTAGTTATATTTATTTCAATTAGATTGAATTAATGTGATACTGAATCTTGATAAAAGAAACAACCATAGAATCATTACAATTGTAGATGATTTTTTAAGTATACAAGTGTTAAAAAATGGTATATGGAAACTGTTATTGCATATATAGATTTTTTTTTTCTATCTATACTGTAGAAGTTAATTTAGGCAATTATGACTCGACTATCTATTACCATCATTGACCACATCACAGCTTGGTCCAGGGAGGTGAGAATCACTTGGAAAATTTTTGAAGATAAACTGTTAGCACTCAAATGGGATCGATGAAATTTCTATGATGTTAAAGATTTTTTAAAAATAAGAATACAATATGATGCCACTTTACACCAGGCTACTCATACTAATGAAGATGTTTGTCATCTGAAATATTTATTGATTTTTTTTTTTTTAATTTTTTTTTTAATATTATAGGTAAGATTTCTGTGTGTTGACAAACTGTCTTTAAACAACATTTTAAAAACATATAAAACAATTAAATCAGTATTTGGTATTCAATAATAGTCCTTTGCTATTTTTTTACAGAAAAAAAACATTTTCACAACTAACTTTACTAAAGGCAATACTTTAAGAGACTGGTTATATGCATGGCAATCTATTTGCAATTATAAATAAATAAAATTAAGGTGGTACCCAACACCTTGACTAATATTAATTTGGCTCGTTTAATTTTCATAAAATTTTGACAAAATGTTTACTTTGACCCTTTGACAAAAATATAAAAATTTCAAAAAATTTGAACCAACCACTTTATCAGAAAAATTTCGTTGGTTATATAGCAGTTTGACAAACACTAATTTTGATCATTGAGAAGCTTAATATTTCCTTAACAATACAACGTAATTAAAACGTTTAGCTGATTTTTACAGAGTTATCTCCCTGTAGTGTTAGGTACCACCTTAAAGTGTAAATAGAAGAATAATGAAGAAATGAGAAAACAACCTATTATCCAGCAACATGAAGGATAGAGTGACATCTGTACAAGTGCCAACCTTTCCCCTTCTCACTAAAAAAATTTAATTTTCATTAAAAATAAAACTTAATCCAATTTTCTAATAAAGTCCTTTGTTCAGATCTGAATTGGATCTACTATATAAAAGAATTCCCTGTCCAGACAACAAAAAGTAATAAAAGGTGGACAAACAAGTAAACTTATGGGCCAGAGACATTATGCCCTATGGAATTTGTTTAAGATAAGCATAATAATCATCATTGACAAAAAATTCATTCAACACCAAATTGACCAAATATTCATCTCATTTAGCAACAAGATTTTAAATAGTGAAATTGCTTCTGAAAATAAACTGTTAATACAGAGAAATGTCTCGCCTTTTTGTAATTTTGATAATGCAAATGTTGAAATTAAAATTGCAATACTTTAACATGTAAGTTATGCAAATATTCAAAGTCAATGAACCATGACTGAAGGTACATGGCTAAACAATCTCCATGGAAATGAGATGTACCAATGCTAATACAACTGCATACCAAATACCAGTGACTTAACATTAGCGGTTCATCTTAAACTGATCTAATCACAAACTAATACATGTAAACTAAGCAAAAGTTTCAAAGTCAATAGACCATGACTGAGGGGGTGGGGCCAAATATTCTCCATGGAAATGAGATGTGCTAATGCTTATACAACTACATACCAATTAACATTGGCCTACCACTAATGGTTCATCTTGAACTGACCTAATCACAAACTAATACATGTAAACTAAGCAAAAGTTTCAAAGTCAATAGACCATGACTGAGGGGGCAGTGCCAAATAATCTCAATGGAAATGAGATGTGCCAATGCTAATACAACTGCATACCAAATATCATTGACCTACCACTAGTGGTTCACCATAAACTAGACCTAATCACAAACTAATACATTGTTGACGCCATCGCCGTCGACGCCGAAGCCGGAAACAGCATACCTATGTCTCGCTTTTTGACTACGTCCAGGGGAGACAAAAACTAATCAATATGTAATTAAGAAAATAGACAATGATTAAAAAGAAAATGATTACTAAAGCACTTTGTTTTGTATCTTTGACAATTCTATTCAGCTTATGGTTGAACAAAAAGACCAATCAGAAAATATAGGTTTTTTAATGAAGAAAAACAAAAGATTAATACAACAAAACTAATATGACAATGTAAGTCTTCAAAATATTTCATAAATATTATTCACATATTAAAATACTGATTAAATTCTATTTTCCTGAATGGTAACTGAGGCATCATTTACAATTTTTATTGTTTGCTGGTTAACGTTTGTAAGTGAATGAAAAACCTGTTTATTTAATAGTAAAGCTATTTTTCAAAATTATTGTATGAAAGCATTAATGCCCCTCAAATTTAATATCATGAAAAAATCCTATTTTCAAAAATATTTTGATTCTGATTATACCTTTTACTGACTTTTTACATATTTTAACACAAAAGAGAATCAAGCATGTTTAACATGTAAGTGCATGTACAGTCACACATGCACTTTGTACAATGTCTTGAGCACCAAGAAATGAATTATGTACATCATATATTCATAAAAATTTATAGAAGCCTTTCATTTCAATACATTTTTTTAATCTCAGTGATATTAAGAATTTCAAATCGTAATTAATAGCACAAGCAAGTAAACCAAGTTGAGCAATAATGGAAATAAGCTGTCATAAAGATTAAAACATTCAAAACCTCATATGTTAAACTATTTCTATAGAAAGCACTTAAGAAAGAAAAATTACAGTTCAATCATATATAATTTACAAATTTATCTGTACATATAAAGTCCTTGTATAAACTAATGTTTAACTTGCGATCTGTTGCAGATGTTTTATAAGTTTTATATATCCTATAAATACTCAACTAAATATGACCCAACCATGTAGCAAATACATGAATCAAATCTTACATATTTGTGGATTCGTTTATTTCTTAGATACGAATTTTCATGGATCGAGGAAAAATTGCATTTTCGTGGATATTTGATTTCATCATTTTTGCCAGAGTCTGCATAAAAACCTTTTAGAAAATTTGACATCATTGGACGTTTAAATTTGTGATTAACCTATGCCCAGGAAATCCACGAAAATATATTTCTCCAATTGAGGAACTTTTTTGACTCGCACACTATCATAATAAATACATTTTTAATCCATAGGATTATCTTGAGGTGTAACTGTATCTGCATTCTAGTTGATGTCATTCACTGATTCAATCAGTTGTGTATATCATGAAATTCAAAATAACCAGAAAATAAAATGACATTTACAAAAAATGAAATCTACAACTGATTTTATTAATCTACCACACGGTCATCTTATTTCGATGACCATTACATTATTTATATAATAAAGACAAAAATTAGATTAATCTGATTACTCAAAAACTATCTTTCAATTAATATAATATTCATAATTTTATTTACTGAATATCAAGTCAGAAATGTATCTTATGATTATCAATCTCCATTTCCTCAAATACCAAACTTAAAATAAAAATCATCTCTATCAGGACTCACAACACAATAGTTGAGGAATTAGCAAATCTTTATAACAACAAATCAAAATACAAATCAAAATTTAACCTATGATTACTAAATTCAAACTAATCTCCAAAGAGGCTTAATAAATCTTAAGTCAGAGTGACCTAATTTCTGTTAGATGCTACTACACTCCCCTAGAAGCATCCATATACCAATTTATGTGCAGACAAGTCACCTACTTTCTGCGATTTGAACTTAAGACACATAATTTAATATTAGTGATGAATTTCAAAACTTAGTCACAGCCCTGTCCATGAAATATGGAATATTTGATCTTGGGTCTGTCTCACAAAGATGCATCTGCATGACTATTTGACTGTATTTCTTTGGGTTCCTTTGAACTAGCTGCAAATGTGAACTTATACGTGTATGTCAATGCCAACATTTATGCTAAGGGTATTCCAATAGCTCCTCTTCTTCTTTGAGGTGATGTAAAATTGTTCATTATATATACTAGATACTTCACTTGCAGACAACAAAATTCAAACGGAGATAATTGTGTCTTCATAGCATAAAACTGTTTCAATCATAACCTTTCTCGTTGAATTTTGAAAAGGTCCGTTTTTACAACAACAAAAACTTTGGTGTATTAACCTACCTATGTTATTTACATTTGTATATGATAAAAGATTGATGGCATCCTCTTTGGAACTGGCATTGAAGTGCATCGCTCACAATGCTATTCATTAAACATATATCAAGACATTTTACATTTATTTTTGTCTTGTTTGGATTTGCTTAGTTCTGGATTACTACTAGAAGTCCTGATTGACTTTGGTTGGGAGACATGGTTATTGTGAGTGGGAGGTTCCATTTCATGGCATTCTCCAGATTTATCTTTTTCAACAGTTACCCAATTTTCTTCACCTGCAAAAAAAATTCTTTTAATTAAAAACTGATAAAAATTTCACATACATATATTTCTCCAACAGTTTATTTCTTGATATATAGTGGAAGTGATTTTTTGTGATGCATTTATTTATATGAGTGCAATTCTAGAGCATTTTCATCAGTCTTTTCTTAATATATAATTACTTGCTGAAAATAACAACAAACTTTTTCATATACTATACAATATATATCTTATAGGTACAGGAAAAATTAAGTTTATAGTGTGCCAGTATCCTAAATATCTTTGTAATATTGACCACTGGACATTGCAAACTAATATTTTTATCATAACTTAAAGGAATAATTCTTGAGAGTCATATAATTGAACATAGCAAAATTAGATCTGCTAGTATGGTTAAAACTGTGAAACAAGCTGGACAGGTTTTATATCACCATCCTTTTATCAGCAGGAGAGTTGCATACCTGATGAAGCTAGTTTGTCTTCTCATTGTAAATATTTCATATATATTTACAAACCAGATAGTGTTAAAATACATGGTTAGGCAAACTTCAATTTTTATGTGTAATTGTATTAAACTATGTGATAATCAATCCACACTCAAACATATATCTATTTTTCTGCGTTTTAGAGAATAGGGGGAAAATGTTGTCTAAAAGGAATGTAGTTAAAAACAGTATGTGTTTTGGCGGTTTGTCTGTAGTTAAACAGTTTGATGAGGTTCAGCATCAATGTCCTGAGATGTGCCTTGCACTTGCCCCATTACACAGGTTTCCATATCAATTTTCTTTAGTCAAGTTTTTGAGGTTTTTCCTGGGCGGCTAGGTTATGTTAAAGATAGATATATACATACATTTATAGAGATAAGGGAATTTTGTGCTTCATGGTTGCCATTATTCATATGTTTATTAATTCTATATATATATATATATGTTCCCATTTTGGAATATACTTGTACTTGTATTGACATATAGAATATATATTAAAAGCCAGCTCAGTCAGTCTGCATGACTAAATGCATTCATTTTGTTAGTTGTTATTGAAGTGTTGTTAAGACATAAAGATATTCAGCCATGTGCCTATCTCCTGGGCAGAATCTTCCACTATTTGGAAATTGTCATCCATGTATTTTGAATTATATGTCAAAGTTTATTTTCAAAACTCTGTAAAATATCATTCATTTTTATTAGTTTTTTTTGTCTTTGTTCTATATTTATGTTGTCTCTGTATAGCGTATTTATATGTGTTGTTCAAAGCCAGATATAAGTTGATATATTGCACTGGTACTTTATTATATAGATACAAGAAGATGTGGTATGAGTGACAATGAGACAACTCTCCATCCAAGTCACAATTTGTAAAAGTAAACCATTATAGGTCAAAGTACGGCCTTCAACACGGAGCCTTGGCTCACACCGAACAGAAAGCTATAAAGGGCCCCAAAAATGACTAGTGTAAAACCATTCAAACAGGAAATCTTGTCTCTGGTTTTGGAGATGCATGTCCTTCTTTCAATTTTTGATTATCAATGGAATTTCAAACAAAGAGGGTTTTTCTCAGCTACAATTTCATCGAAGGGTGACAACCCTGAGATGAGAAGTAGCCAAGAAACATTCTCTAGTTCAAAAGACCTTTGATAATCTGTGTATTGCTGTTTTCCTAGGCAACATCATTAACATAGGTTCATGACTTAAGTAGCGTGATATGGAAGATTATCTAAATAAAAGAACAGAGTTCCAATGTCCCCCACGTTGCACATATTTTATATTTCCAAGGGGCATAACTTTTTTAAAATAAAAAGTCGATCATCCACCATTATAGAACTTGTCCGGGATATTGCTGATATTAACCTATAGTAAAAGTTTTATAAAAATCTGGCAAGAATTGTACCAGTGAGAGTGCTAACGAGGCCATTTTCCATAAATTTAATATTTCCAAGGGGCATAACTCGTTTAAAAAAAGTCGATCAGCCACAATTATTGAACTTGTCTGAGATATTGCTGATATTAACCTATAGTATAAATTTTATAAAAATCTGGCAAGAATTGTACCTGTGAGAGCGCTAACGAGGCCATTTTCCATAAATTTAATATTTCCAAGGGCACAACTCTTTTAAAAAAATAAATGTGGATAGTGTCCAGATGATGCCCCCGCTTGCATATCATATAGTTATAAAGGGACATAACTGAAGAACAATAAAAGTGACGCTACCCAAATTTGAACATGATCTGAGTTTTGTGGTAATAAGCATTGTGTGTAAGTCTCATAACATTTGGTTGAGGCTAACTTAAGTAGAGAACAGAAACTAAAAATTCAGCAATTTTTCTATTTGTAAACACGCATAACTCTAGAACAGTTGTGTGTAAGTTTTATAACATTTGGTTGAGACAAACTAAAAAATTCAGCAATTTTTATGTTTATAAAGGGTCATAATTCAAGAATGGTAAAAGTGTCGCCACCAAATTTCGTACTTAATCTGTATTATGTAGTAATAAGCATTGTGTATAAGTTTCATAACATTTGGTTGAGGCAAACTAAAGTTAGAAAACGGAAAGAAAAAATTTGTACTTGATCTTAGTTTTGTGGAAATGAATATTGTGTATAGGTTTCATAATGTTTGGTTGGGGCAAACTTAAGTTACAGAATGGAAACTAAACATTTTGCAATCTTTCGAATTATAAAGGGGCATAACTCAATAATGGTTAAAGTGACACTACCCAAATTCAACTTGATCTGTGTTTTATCACTGGAAGTCAAAATTAAACATTGCATTGTATAAAGCATTGATTGTAGTTGATTCAACTATAATCATGGACAAAGGAAGATAACTCCAATTTTAAAATTACTTGACATTTAGAAGAAAATAAAAATTTTGCAATTTTTCCATTTATAAAGGGCCATAACTCTAGAACAGTTAAAGTGACGCCACCAAAATTCAAACTTGATCTGTGTTTTGTGGTAATAAGCATTGTGTATAAGTTTCATAACATTTGATTGAGGCAAACTTAAGTTAGAGAAACGGAAACTAAAAATTTTGCAATTTTTCCATTTATAAAGGGCATAACTCTAGAACAGTTAAAGTGACGACACCAAAATTCAAACTTGATCTGTGTTTTGTAATAATAAGCATTGTGTATAAGTTTCATAACATTTGGTTGAGGCAAACTCAAGTTAGAGAACGGAAACCAATTTTGGGACGTACGTACGTACGTACAGACAGACAAGGGTAAAACGTAATGCCCCCACCACTTAGGCGGGGCATAAAAAGTTAATCGGCCACCATTATTGAACTTGTCCGAGATATTGCTGACATTAACCTATAGTATGAGTTTTATAAAAATCTGGCAAGAATTGTACCTGTGAGAGCGCTAACAAGACCGGACGGACGGACGGACACACACCCGGTTTTTCCATGTCCCCCACAACGCTTTACGCGGGGGACAAAAAAAAGATTACAGCAAAATTTGAGAAAATTGCAATAAAGTTTTTTATATTTGATCTAAGGGAGCCTTCTTGAGAATAGAAAATGGACTTTACAGTAAGCTTCAGTTATAATTGTCTTAACACATACATAATAATTCATGTACAAAAATGTAGTCTAAAAACTTTTTAATAACTATGTTTTAAAATATCAAAATATTTATAATTTATTACTAACCTGAACTTCTATCATTCTGTTTGACAGCTTCTCTTGTTGTCCTTCCTGTTAAAGCATCCAGTATTTCATTTATACTAAAGTGATGATGGTCTGAAATTATCAATAAATACTTCTTAAATTCCTCACTAACATTTTGTAATTCTAGCTTCTTATAAAATAATCTTGCTCTAACTATTAAATGAAAACTGTCATGTATACATCAAGCAATTAATAGCTGAGTCAAGCCATTTCAAACTACAGTAAATTCAGAAATAATGGTGTGCATTTATTATTGCTATTTCAGTGTTCCAGCTAGGATTTCAAAAGGGCAGGGTGCCAATCCTGAAAAAGGGCATTTAACGCGTGATATTATAATATGAAAAGGTCATGTTTTAATAAAGATTATATTCAAACATTGTTTGTTCATTGAATCACTGGTTATGTATATACAAGAACAACATCATTAGCCCAGAGAAAAACTATCTTTCTACTTTTTAGGCTGAAAACTTATCAAGCAGCTTGTCACACAAGTTTTAAATCATTGCTTGGCACAGTTAAGCTTTATATGCAGTATTTTTTGAAAAATGTCCTGCTTCATTCTGTTTCTATGGTCTGACACACTTTACAAGTTTCACCTTTCTACCTTTTCTGTGCTTTATGACAATACAGCACAAAACAGCTGTAAATGCACAATGTTAGGATATAGTGAACAGTGAAAATTTGGATTGAAAATAAAAAATACAGAAAAAGATGACCATGGCACCCTACCAACCCTGCTACTAAGACCCTCTTTAACTTTTCCCATAACTCAAAACACCTAAACATATAAATTCTAAAGCCAGAAGTATGAAGGCATATTTTATAATATCTTAGTAGGTTACTCAATGCTAGGAAAAAATAAGATTGAGTTATCTTTCTTTAGTGGGTGTGCTCCTTCTTTGGAGAATAATAAACAGTACGTCGAAGATGTAAATACGATCAACAATATGGCGGCCGATTTTGTTATTTTCGTATAAAAAATGAAGGCAGTCAATGAAAAATACGTCTTAATTTGCTATTTATTTCACGGAAAACAATAAGAGCAATGTTTTTAACGAGTTGATTATGGTTTTCGACTTTCTGTCAATTACGTTTTCTCCATGAAACTACGGTAAACATTGCTAATTGTGCCCAAGTTGTATGAACATTTCTTCAAGTTCAAAGACAAATGCTGACTGACCGATTCTATTTGAATGAATTAATGTTGATGATCATTAAATGACCCATCCGATAAACGGATTTCCTATAACAACAGATTATGACACCTGTTGTAACCGTTGATTAGCTTGGGGTCGTAAACAAAGTCATATACTTGTCGCCAGGTAAATTTTCGTAATTGGCTGATCATATCAATACGAACAAAATAATATACCAATCGATCTTCAAAAAAGGAAGGGCGCCCTGCAAACTGTAAAAAAGCCACACAGCGGCACTCGGGAAAGGGCGGGCGGACCGCCCTGTGAAAACGACCTAGCTGGAACACTATTTTTTAAAAATGGACAAAAATGCGAAAGTTAATTATTGAGATTTCACTAAAAATCTGCTTACAGATATAAGAATCAGATATTCGAATGCGAGTTCTTATTATTGCGAAATCTCCAAGTTGCATTATTCCCATTAATAAAAACCTTGCAATAATTTCTGAATTTACAGTAATTCTTATTTTGTTCTCATGTTGTGCTGGTACACCACTGTCCAAGGTAAGAAGATTGTTAAGTGTACATAAACATGTTTAACCCCGCCATATTTTAAGTGTACCAAAGTCCTGAGCTTGTTATTCAGTTTTTGTCATCGGTTGTTGTCTGTCATATTTTTTTTTTTTCCGTTTATTGTTTTGTCCTTAATCTTGCCATTAAATGCTATGTGTCGCTAGGTAAACTCAATTTGAGACAGTAAAATCTACATTTACGAAGGCCAAGCTTAAAATATAATAGTTATCTCCAAATTATCAGAAGGCAGCTACCAAAATTTCAGTTTAGAAAAAAAACATTTTATTAATTACTTTATAAACGTTCTTATTACTGTGGATTCATTATTATAAGTAGTTTACCACAATTCTTTGATTCAGGAGTACAGGTAAACCATAAATTTAAAAATTCTATGAAGTGCAAATTTTTATAAGCTTGTATGTAGACTTTGGCAAAACCAGGAAATCAAATATCCATGAAAACATAATTTTTCCTCAATCCACAAAAAATAAATGAATCCACAGTATCATAAATTGGATGGGCAAAGTAAAAATTAATGGTGAAATGAAAGCTTATGAATTACAATGGACAAAAATTAATAACACAGTCAAATAGAAATCACCACTTTTTTTAGATGGGAGCAATTGCTCAAACTGCAAACATATCTCTACTAAAATCTATTAGTTATCTAATATCCATGTCCTTTAGTCTCTGGTTGATTGTTGTTTCATTGGCAATCTTTCCACTGCCTTATTTTATATTTTATATTAATGCAACTTTTTGCTTTATATTGGTGCTTTATTTTATATAGATCAATAATTTATAACATTTTGTTATTGGGGATGTTTTTGAACAAGCTGAAACCAGGTGACAGAATTAAAACATGTCCTCTTGAAATAAATTTCCATGATTTGTAAAACCATCTAATTAGCATGTATACAAACCTGGTCTTCTTTGTCTCAGAAGTGTCAGGGCATCTCTTACTTGCTCCTGTGTATATCCCATCTCAAGAGATTGTTGTACAGCTTGTATTTCTAAATCATCTGTCCAAGTATAAAATCTTAATTAAGATCTTCAGAGATTCAATACAGCATACAGCTAGGGGTAATACTTATACATGTGTCTTTTATCTACACTGGTATATTGTACAGGAAAATAATTTTGGAGGTAGAGTTATCTCCCTTGGTAATGCAAAATGCTTAAAAAACTTATATAAATATAAGGAATATCATATTTTTTCTTATCTTGAATTTCTCTTGATTAAATTGCTCTGATGCAGTTATTGATCGCTTGTCTATAATATATGTCTTTAATATTCACAAAAGTATAATTTCATTGACTATGAAAATCTCAATTGTCTGTTATTTTCAAAATACTGCCTTTTTACAAGACTCCCAGGATCAGTTTTTCATCGATTGATTGATTGTCGGCTGCATAATGTCCAGAGGTAAGCACTTTTTGAAGGACTTGCACAGTTTTTTTATATCTGTGCACAGAAGATTTTTTTTTAGTTTATTAGATGAAAGGTTGAATTTCTTATTAAAACTAAGGAGTTTATAGAAAACCATAAAAAAAATTAAAGGCATGTTTTGATCAGCATAAAATAGAGCCTTAATATATATATATACGTCTAAATATGTGACAACTTCACGACAGATGTTCTCCATCAGATATCCTGTGATTATACAGGGCTAACACCATAGTTTATATATACTTCGTCTAAAATTTAGCCCAACAATGTTAGATTTGCAAATTATATATAAAGGTCAACCAAAATTGGGACACTCAAACTAGAAAACAGAGAGAGAGATTTCGGAAGCATCAGCTATGTACTCTTGATCCTGATGGACTGAATTAGAGAGATGAAAATCAGTTTTATCAAAAACCAACGGAATAAATCTTGAACTTAATACTATGTAACTAACACAATTTTTTTGTTTTGATCTATTAAATGCAATGTACAATAAGGTGCAAAAATATATTTAAAGGACATGTACAATAAGCTGCAAAAATTTCTTAACAGCATCCGATTTTACCTGATTTGTTTAGCGAAATGTTGCGTGAATATATAAAATATAACAACTATTCTTATAACACTTATTAGCTTGTTAAAGTTACATTCTAAGCCATTTATATATATACATGAAAACTTTGATTTGAGTAGTATGAAGGACAATTTCAGGAGTGAAAAAAAACTTAATTATGGTGGTTCACTTATGTCCACACAATGCATAAAAAATAATACCCTATGAATAAAAACGTATTTACAACAAACCTTTTGTCAGAACAGTACCAGATTCTTCTGTGCTACCATCTGTTTCAAGACTAGAAACAGAATCGTTTGGCCTTCTGACTGGTTTAAGTACTTCAGTGTCATCTGGATCAACATTACTTCCTGAGGTTTGTCCTAACGGAGAACCTCCTAACGGTGTTTTAACTAATGTCTGCTCACTACCTCTAGATGAAGTAACTTTAGATACAGTTTGCTCTGATGCAACTGGTTGTTTGAGTACAGTGCTTTCACTATCACTTTCATTTTCAGAACTTTCTCGTTTTTGTTTAACAACCGGGTACGAACTTTTTACAGGAGGAACTAGAGCAATAAGTGGCGAAGAAGCAGGATTAGCTGTGAATGGTTTTATTGGTCTAGATGAAGGAAATTTACCAGAAGCTGGAATTCTATTACTTGATTTACTAATATTGCTTTCTTTTGGTGGAATATTATATGAAAAGTTTTCTTCTTTTGCTGATATTTTCTTCTTGTTTTCTGGTTTTTGGTTTTGTTCTTTCAAATTAGTACTTTCATTATCACTGGTTATTAAGCAAGTACTCCCAGAATCTGCTGACCCCAACTTAGCTTCTGTCTCTTTTAACACAGTAGGAACATTATGAACACATGTTATTTCTTCTTCTTCATGTTCTGTTGGATTGGAATTGCCTTGCAGTCTCCCTGCACTGGTATCTGAACTCTGATTTGTTGGAAAACCAGCATCAGCAGAGACAGATGAAGGCATTCCTTGGTCACTTCTTCTTCTTTGCATACTGCCCATGCTAGGTACGCTGAAATATAGGCATTTTTGAAATTTTAAAAACAAGTAATTATTGTGTCCATCTACCTTACCAATAACTGATGTTAACAGCTATCGTAATTCTAATATTAACAGCTACCTTAACTCTGATGTTAACAGCTGTAGTGTTTTTCAAAGTCATCAATTCAACTAGAGGCTCACATGAGTCTGCATCACTAACAAGGTTTATTACTAAAAGTTCTTGTCTGGTGAACAAATTTATCCATTAGAAGCCCTTTTCACAAAAAATCTAAGTTAAAAAAAAATATTGTTGTAAGTTGTACTGAAATGTTCATGATTTACAAAAATTTTTTCTTGTAAGATTTTTTGTGAAATTGGTCACTTGCATAAAATTATTACAACTTGATGATAATTTCAAATTAAAATTCTATAATAGTTAACTTCTTTAAGACCCTTTTTTAGCGGCTTAGAACCAAATTCGTACTTTATAATGCAAGAACAATTGAGAAATAATTCTATCATGCCATGCTCTATGCTCATTTTAACATGGGAAGGCATTGTATTTGTCAATATCTTTATACCAAGCGTTAGCAAGGTGTAAAATGTTGACAAATACAATGCCTACCCATGTTAAAATGAGCATAGAGCATGGCATGATTGAATTATTTCGATTCTAATAGGAAAATTTTGAACTTTTGTACTTTAAAGCGGACTTATAATACACGTTCGAAAGGCAGCCATTTTGATATGATGAACCAAAAATGTTATAGAAAATCGACAGTTTAACGATAAAAATGAACAGATACATTTAAACTTAACTACTTTTAGAATGATTGTATTTAACTTCCTAGCAACACCAATAAAAATGTCAATTTTTTATCCCTAGTGTTGTTAAAAATTCAGCTGACATTGCAATTTCAATTGTGATATCAATCACATGCAGCCCATGTTTTATTGGAATTCGAACATGGCAATGTTTCAAAGCAAAAGAAAAATGTCATATTAGAATACTTGAAAGAATGTTGTTCATAACAGTTTCAATATGGATACAAGGTATGTTGTTGCTATTACGAAATATTAAACTTAATTGTGTGTGTCACTGGCTATCAAAGATTTCACCTAGTTACAGTATGCAAGGGCCTTTCAGTTGGAATGCATATAACTTCTACGTATACACATTTCCATTTATAAAATAATTGTTTTTTGCATAAAAGTTTAAAGGAATTTGTTTTAAATATGATTTATATAATCACATCAAAAATTTTCTTTTGAAAGAATAAGAAATGTTCAGAGGTAAAATCATAAATTTTTTTCTGTGCACAACAGTTAAGTTCTGTGTCTCATTCAAAAAAAATAATATACCATTGCAATATATTAGGGAGACCAATGATGAATTTTTATCTTAAGATATTTTAATGAAAAGATTGATTGATTGGTGTTTAATGCCACTTTCAGCACTATTGTGCTATTTCGTGGTGGTCAGTTTTTAATGACAGAGGAAGTTGGAGTGTTTGTGAAAAGAACCTTGGAACCTAGTCCTATAACATAGACTTCACATTCATATTCCTCTTTAAGCATTTTCTTGCTGATGGTTTAATTTCTAATTTGTTATGCTTTTTGTGACAGCACATTGCAGAAATAAATTGTATTATAACCAATAGCAAAAAAAGTGAAAAGAATACATCAGAAAAGAGTCTTAAATGGAAAATATTGTCCCTAGGTCATTTGTTATGGAGTAATACCACCATTGTTTTCCACTATTAGTCTTTGTTAAATTGGGACTTTTAAAAAAGTTGTGCAGAATAACGAAATACTTGGCATGAGTAAAGTCTTATCCTGTCCAGTACTACAATAAAAATTTCACATTACATTTCATTACAGTAGTATAAGATAATAAACATCACCGTAAGTTAACCAATCAAAATTTCACCACTTTTTTTCCTGTTTACAAGCTTTAGTAACCATGTCACCTCCTCAAGTTTCCAAAATATTTAATAGAAACACCAAACAAAAAAAGAATGATTCTTTGAGACACCCAAGATATATTTATGGTTCACAATTTTTTTCTGCAATGAAATACAGGGTTAATTTCCTACAACTGTCAAATTCAAGGGAATATATTTTTTCAACCCTTTTTCGTATGAAACTGGATGTGAAATTCTATGATTTGGTGGTATTACACCTATAGGACTACTATACCTATACATTGATAAAAACCATTAAAGTCCACTGTACTATACAATTTTGGTATAAAAAAAAATTAGTCACATTGCAGGCTTCACCAATAACATTTTCTTCAACATTCAAATATCATACTAACAAAATTAGTGGAAATATCGTTCAAGCATAATATGAATTATTATACACCAGAGGAGGTCAAAGTCTACACTGAAAACTTATATGATATTATATTTTTGATTTTTCTTTTCAAGAATTGTTTTAATATTATGAAAACAAACTCTGCTAGAATTTTTCTTACAGGGAATACTTATTTGCACACATATAGCTATCACTAAATTGGTCTAGACAAAAGATCAAATTTGTGCATAAGGGTCAGAATCTTTATGACAATAATTGGCACTAAAGTAGTAACATTTGTTAAGGACCTTCAAAGCAACATAAAATGTATCTGTATAGTTTGGTGACCATCAGTTCACTTATTCTTCATTATAAATGTCCTCAACAAAGCGTCACGAGTAATGTTTTGCTCTTCCTCATACAACCATACATTTGTTTGTACACACTGAATAGGATTGATTGATTTTTGGTGCTTAACACTACTTTTAGCACTATTGGCTATTTCGCGGTGGCCAGTTTTTACTGGTGGATGAATCCAGAACGTCTGGAGTGAACCACTAACCTTCTGATGGAAAACTGGCAGTCCTATTCAATTAAATTTGGAGTTGCAAGCACCTGCCACGTGTGGGGTTCGCAACCTCAGTGTTGACAGGCTAGTAATATATATAGTAGATAAATTACTTCGACTACTCGGTCTCCCCAGTGCCCCTAATCAGGATAAACACAAATCACAGAAATTTAAAAATTTGGAACTTTAAAGTCATATGAAACAAGTTTCTTGTAATTATAATGTTATCAAAATTATTGAACCAATGCATGCATATATGCTAAACTAAGTCCTATATACATGTTTTTTAAAACTTACTACAAATCTATAACGTATTATCGACAAATAATATTTCAATCAGTGATTGTTGATCGCAAGCTAAATAACTTTTGAGTTTGTTGCCGAAGTTTACCAGATCGTGACATTGATAAACAATCAACACAGAGCATGTGGAAAATAAGAGAATTGATAGAGACTTGATATAGGTGGCCTAAGTTCTAATGAGAGGTATCGTAGTTAAGGTCATTGCATTAGGGAAAATGTTGGTGAATAAGTGTATCATATGTGAAGTCAATTATTCAATAGCAGTACATTTATGAATATTTTGATAATATAAAGGATTTTCTTTTACAAGAAAGTTTGTGTACACTTGTTTTATGGTAAAACATAGCCATTCAAGTATATTAACCATCTTCAACTTTTTTTAAATTTGAAGTTTCATATGACTTTAAATGTAGATTGAGCATTAAGTTTCTGAATTTTGACTTTTGCTCTAAAACACAACTGTCACAAGAATTTTATATTATAATGTAAATTTCAGTATGATTACCTTTTTGTAAGACCTGAAAAGCTACCAGAGACCACTTACTTACCTATCTTTACTGCCAGCTTCACCTCTGAACTCTTCCATATCAACCTGTTGTCCACCAACAAGTATTTTTGCCTTGTCTCCAATTATTACATTGTCAGCAGTTATATTGTAAGTTTTGGCGGACTGTTCTTGTTCTTGTTTTGCAGGATTGTAATATTGATGATAATGTATATGAATTCCAGACGGTTGATTACTTGGAGAACAATTTACTTCAGATTTTGGCAAATGACCAGGTCTTGATTGAGCATGGGGTTGTGGTGGGGCAGACTGATAGTCTCCTGTGAGATCCCCAGCATCCATTGAAGTTGGTCCACTTTTTCTAGAGGAAGGCCCAGATTCTGAAGGTCCATACTTTTGTTGGTAATCTGTAGATTGGCTGCTATGAATATCTGGTTTCAGGTTCAGTTCTGAAAAGAAAATCACAACTTTTTTCAAAATTACAAGTACACTGCCACAAGCTTGGAAGAGGTTTTTTTTTTCTTAATTCAAAATCATGCATTTTTTATCTTACTTAATTCATGTAGAGATCCTCAGCATAAACAAATCTTCAAATTGATAGATGAACAAATCTAACCAGGGAAAAAGCAAATATCCTTTCATTTCTATTTACAAACATGTGCTTGATGTATGTAAGTGCATTTTTTTATAAGTTAAAATAATAGACAATCATTTGTCTTTTATCATGATTATGTACATGTACTATTATTCTGAATCTTCTGAATAATCCTGTATTTAAAATTCTGTTTTTATTATAATTATTCTCTTTAAGTAAAACTTTAGACCAACTTAGAGAACTCATATCAAAACAATTTGAGTTAATGTTCTTTGAACATTTTAGAATCAGCTAGGATTCATCTCTGCAAAAAAGTCCCAAATCTCATCTTAAAAATATCCTTGTGAGAACCTTTCTAGAAAGCAATGGTGGATTAATATTTTTTTTCCAGTTTCATCTACCACACATTAATTTTGTACCTGCAATTCAACAAGAGCTGGCAATGACCTAAGTAACAGAATGTAAACAATGTAATGTACCAGTTTTGTGTCAATAAATTTTGCTTTTTAAACAGTCAAATCAGTTTAGTTGTTGAAAAATAAACATTACATTGTCATGATTGTATGTGTCCTAAATTTTCAAATAGCATTGCTATCATGCTTTCCAATAATTCCAATAATAAGATTGATTCACATGTGATTTTGCAAAACTTTTCATTGCTTTTATAGGGGATAAATGAAAACACACAACTTATCTGAAGTAATTTATGTTATAATGTTCAAAGGTAACTTTTTTTTTCAAATTTGAACAGTATTAAAGCAGCAGTAACTAATATATAAGCAGCTTAAGTCTCTAAGGACTTTTCCAGAATTAAAAACATGGGGGACATAGGAGGCACTTTTTTCGAACCCTAATTATAACCTACCATAATATAAAATTTTCATTTCCCTTACAACTCTTACAAAATTCTATGTAAAATGAAACCACCCACAATTAACTGATTTAAGTGCCTCCCAGCCCTGACCAAAATGACCCTAAAATCATGAAGTTTTCAAATACAAAGCACTGAAGATGGTGAGAAATGGTAAAAAAAGACAGAAGTCTGTAATTATCATTGTATTAACAGTATATGTATTTTCATTGCTTAATTAGTATTCTTCAATATTAATTAGCCTTCCAATTATTTAGTGTGTGCATAGGATATTTCAAGGAACATTAAGATCATAGTACACTTTTATTTGGAACAATTTTTGCCTTTGTTTGGTATACTTTATGCTGTTAAGCAAGAGTAGTAGATTAAATGATAGAATAAAAATTAAAAGACATAAAAAGTTCAAGGAATCATCTTACCTTCACCTATTTTTTGTTTTTCTGACTGTGATTTCAAACTTGACATGTCATCGCCTTCTGTTGGAGCTTTAAATCTATACTTTTCAGGAAATGATGGAGGGTGCATCATACTTCCTGCAGTTTTAGGATAGCCACCACCTGATGCATATACAACATTTCTTTCACTTTGTTCCTTCATGGACTGTGATCGGTAATATTCTTTCAATTCTCTCTCAGACTCTATACGTTTCATTTCCATCATACGCTGTTCATATTCATGTTTGGCTGACAACTTTAGATCATATTCCATGTCCTCTTGAACTTTTCTTACTAAGTAGTTATAGCATTCTTCTTGGTGCTTTTTATCATTTTCTACCCGCTTGTATATTTTGTCACCTATTAAGCGTCTTACACCTTTACAGTAAAATTCATCAGCATTGTAAAAGTTAATTCCTTTCAAGGAATTGAGACCCATTGGAACTCGAAAATCGGCTTTGTTTCTTTGCACAGTATACACAGGAACAACACACCACTTTTTTTCCTTATTATAAATTGCTTCCATTAAACATGTCTCACTTGACAAACTGCACCAGTCACATTCTACAAACTGTTTTGTTAAGTAAACAAATGTAAATGTACAACGCTGAAACCCGTGGTCTAAATGCTGTAGCTTCGAAGCAGATAAGCCTTCCAATTCTGGTCCATCATATAACACAGCTTTTATTTTACCTGGTTCATTTGGGAAAATGTCCTTTTCTAAATGAGCTCGAAACTCTTCAGCTTTATGATAATCTGCTTCACTATATAAGACCATAACATCATAATATCCTACTTTAAGGTCCTTTGGAAGTTTTTCATAATGTTGCTGAATAAATTCTTCTCTTGATAATTTAGGTAGAGAGGATGAACTAGTACTGTCGGGAGGAGGTTTGCTGAAACTGTCTGGTCTCTCTTGTCTACCAGTGTAAAACTGTTCAGAGGAGGGTACAGATGACGAAGGCTGTCTAACAGCACCTAATTACAAACAGAATAATTCAATGTAAAGTAGAAAAGAAATCACAATACATCTAGTGTAGTTGGTAGGGATTATTTAGCTAGCTATAAATACCTTCTTCTGTTCGGTTATTGTCCTTATACTGTTAATTCAAAAATGTTAGGGATGTTTTTCTTATTGCAAAAAATTGCAACAGAAAAGGTATCGCAAAAATAAATTTTCACATTTTAAATTTTGATAGCATTATTGCATTTTGGTATGCAGAATTTACTGAAATCACTATAGTTAATCTTGTATTTTTGTTGAGTCTTTAAAATCGCAAAAATAAATGCACACAAGAATTTCTGAATTTACAGTAGATGATTTAAATGTCTTTATGCACTGGATAATTTAAAGAAATTTCTATTCATATCAAAAGATTCAAAAAAATGTTTTATCATAATACTAATGGAAATACTGTCCTTTTATTATTATTTTTTATTATGTTTAAGTGCTTAATTTCATATTTCAATTAAAAAATTGTCATATCAATTAAAAAAAAGTTATACAATAAGGAAAAGGTAATTTTACTTTCTTCATTAAGTCTAAGAAAAATAACAGAATCAAAACTGGTTTAGAAATGACAAGATTATAGTTGTTAAAAATTGGCAATCTTCCTCTCAACTACTGAAGTATGAACAATCTCACTACTATTTCACACATGCTACTGCTAGCAATGGTATAAAAATATAAAAGTTAAAGGTAGCTATCAAGCTGATATCCAGTTAAAATGAGACTTTTCATTATAGTTGTTAAACAAAGTCTGAGTTGGCATATTTTGGATTGTTTACAACTATTCCTATGGTCATCAAAAGTTTAATACAGTAGAATAATCTAAGTTTTTCTGCTAATTGGGTAAAAAACATTTTTCTTTCAAAATATAACTTCTGAGTAGGGATCGAAATGAAGAAATGTGTATAAAATTAACAGTTTTCAAGATCCATCATGACAGCATGACATCTCTACAATGGCTACTCTTTTTTATTGATAAAAAATCCACACATATAATTGTGAGACAATTCTAGACATATACCTGTTATTTGAAGGCAACCGTATATAAGGGCCTACATGCTCTCTAAACTGGATGGTTTTTATGTTTAGGAAAATTGATTAAAACAGTCTTTTTTAATCTTCAGATTTCAGGAAAATCATATTTGGGGCTGTTTTTATCTATTAATGAATTTGTAAACATGAAAAGCATTCATCACTGTAAGATTCCAGCACAGAAAATTGTAAGATTTCATTAGTCAAAAAGAGGATCTTCATATTAGCAGGAAAGACATTCTTCTTCTTAAATGTTATATAAATTTGAAAAAATATCATTACTTGTTCTTGGTATAGCTCCACTAGGATCATTTCTTCTTGATCTTTGATCTGAAACAGTAAGAAAATAAAATGCTTCGCAGCCACAACCATGAACAGTTGGGGCAAAAAAGGATACAATATTCGTGCTTGATACAGGTTTGAATTTGGATTGTAATTAAATATTTGACACATAATAGGTTTCTGACACAGAATAACTGTAGTCGAGGAACTTAGAATTGGTTATATGATTTGAATTTATATTCAATTTTTTGCTTTTGTGCAATACACTATGCTGTTGCAAATTGACCCCCCCCCCCCCAAAAAAAAATTACCCCCTTTTTTTTGCTTTTGTGCAATACACTATGCTGTTGCATATTGACCCCCCCCCAAAAAAAAAAAAAATTTACCCCCCCCCCTTTATATATATATATATCCTGCAATCATGTCGTTTGTTGCTGTGTAACATATTTGTTTTTTTTATCTTTACTTTGCACATAAATTAGGCCATTAGTTTTCTCATTTGAATTGTTTTACATTTGTCATTTCGGGTCTTTTTTATAGCGGACTATGTGGTATCGGCTTTGCTCATTGTTGAAGGCCGTACGGTGACCTACAGTTGTTAATTTCCGTGTCATTTGGTCTCTTGTGGAGAGTTGTCTGAGGCAATCATACCACATCTTCTTTTTATATTAGCATTTATTAAGGAAACACATTTCCAATTACAATAAAAACATACGATTTCAATCAGTACTTGGAACTTAAATTGTTCTCTTTTCCTTTCAAATTTTCTTGCACTTTGAAACTTGGACTTATTTGGGTTAATTCATGTTTACTTTTTAACTAAGATAACGATTTTTCATCCCAGTTCAACTCATCAGAGTTAGAAATACATGGAACAAACAGGAATTTTTACGCAGACAGACAAATTGCCTCTACTTATCCAAGTTTTCAACACAACTGAGTTCGCAACACAAGGAGGTTCAACATCTAATTCATGCTCTTTAAAGAGAGTACATTTGTATATATAAGCATATTACACTGATATAGATGTGTTATACCTGTAACCTGTACTGATTATCAGGTTTTATTATGTTTATGTAAATTAATATTGTAAAATAAAAACTGTCTCACAATATATATGCATCACTTTTTTTTGGTGAGTGTGTTCTGACAGTAAACACACTTGAAAGCTTCATATTGAGTGGAGCAGCTGATAATTTACAATATCTATATTAGAAAAAAATCTGATAATTGGTTCATCTTATCGTATTTCTGTAATTTTAATGATTAAAACAATAGTTTTTCTTTGTTTCACAAGCTAACCAGAAGACATGATATGCTCAGATCAAATTAATCAACGTCTGCTCAAACATTTTGACATCAGTGATAAGTCTGGGCCAAAGTTATTTAAGCCAGGTTAGACACATAAGACATTACAGGGCAGTGATATATAGGTTCCACTACTGCATCAAGTGCGTTACAATATTTCTCCACTTGAGACAGTCAAATTTTAAAATTCAAAACGTGAAGCTTGCTGATCTTTCTAAATATTTAAAATTTAACTGTTGAGAATGGAGAAATATCGTAATCCTCGAGATATAGTGGTGGAATCTGTTTCTTTAATCATTTTTTAGATGATATCATATCTAAACAAAGTTCTTCCTTCCTTTTAAAAGATTTGCAGAAAGTTGTGTTCTTTAAATGTGACGTGAGCAGGCAGGATTGCCTTTTTTAATGACGTCATAATACGAAATTCAAGAAAAATAACAAAAAATTGACGTCATAATTGAATTTCGACCAATCATTTGTCGATAACAAATTTTTCTCTAGAGACGAGAAATATTTTTCTCACACCGATAGAGAAATGTGAAAATAGCTTGAAAATTTGAGAAATGGTATTTTACAAACATCTGCCCAGGGAAGATCAATAGGTTATCTATTTTACAATATAATACAAACCTGACTCCTGTGAGTTTTCTGTCCAGGCTTCTGCATCAGTTGATATTTGTGACGTGAATCTATCACTATCCATGATTCATGTTTCTCTGATCCAAATATGATAATAAACGTTATTGCTCTGGAAGTTAAAGATAAGAATGTGTTAACTATGAACATTTTTGGAAAGCTTTTGAAAATGACAGGGTAAAGCAGATACAATAACATAATTAGCAGGTTAACTTTTTTACATTTTAAACTACTAATATCTCTAAAATAATATCATCAGTATTATATATACATGTACTGTGATTTCATAGACAAGTAAACATTTTCGTGAATTTGAATTGAGAAGAGATTTATTTTCATAGATACTTGATTTCATCACTTTGACAAATTCTGCATATAAGCCTATGGGAAATTTTTGTGTAACTGACAAGTTGAATCCGATTGAAAGTTAAGTTTATTTAAGCATATAACAATGTATAAAGAATTTCGTTGTTCACATTATTCACCTATATCCACAAAATGCACAAAAATGTGTACCTCATAAATAATAATAAATCCACAGTACTGTCTAGTAAGTATACAATCAAAGATCTTTAGAAACAGGAGGAAATGTAAGACTTTCTGAGGTTTTCTTGCATGTTTAAAAGCAACTACAAATAAATTTTCTTACAATCTACATATATATATGTATATGGCTGAAACACTGTTTTATCCCTGCAATTTAAGTAATCTTGTTAATATGAAAAACAATTTTTATTTTTAATGCTATGCTAATAAAATTTTAAATTGCTTGGAGAAATAACATTTAAAATGATATATTTCCCACCCTTATGTAATGTTGATTGTATAATGCAAAATTAAAATTAAATGACAACACCTGAATATGTATGCTACATGTATGCAAAACTTTCAAAGTCAATAGACCATGACTAAGGGGGCAGGGCCAAATAACCTGCATGGAAATAAGATGTACCAATGCTAATACAACCACATCATTGATTTGCCCTACAATGTAAGTGGTTCCACTTAATCTAGAAGCTTATCACAAAATATAACAAACTGATGATGCAGCAGATATCATTGTCAAAGGACATCAGCACCCCTAAGTCTTGATTCAGTTCTGTGACTCATTTGCAGGCAAGACAATAAATGAATTCTGAAGTTGAATTTGTTAGCATTCATCATGTTCATAATGTATTGTAAAATTAGAAGTTTACTTGCTCCTCTTCGAATTGAAGGCTGTTTCTAAGTAGTATACCTTACCAAAATTAAACCTTAATGCAGTAATTGTAGTTTTTCACCGGGTTGGTTCAAATGATAACAGAATAAATTTCCACTACATCTTTATCTTCAAAGTTTCTGTGGTGAAATATTCAATATCTGAAAAATATAAGAAATTATATAATAAGAATACTAAGAATGGACACTCTGTAATCATGGTAATGCATCACCCGTTTTTCTAGCAACTTTGCAAAAACTCTATCAAACTCTATGTGAATGGCATGTTTAGTATGTTTAGTATGAACAAAGATGAAGTAATGATATTCAGTCCCTATTTTTTCTGTAATTTGTAGCTTAAGATACATTTAAATCTCCATGATTTCATATTAATAGAAGTAACAATACTCATGATACTGAAATCTTGAAACTGATGTAATAGATGAAATGCATGTGAATTTTCATAAGTTTAGGGTTATATTGAAAGAATAATAATTTAAACCAGAAAAATAGGTCATGAAATAACCAAAATTATAAAAATTTCAAATTAGTAGCCATGTTTGTAATGTATTTTTGTTATTTAATGTTTACTTATTCAGTGTTATATCTAGTATCACTATTTTGAATATATACCACCTTTGATAAGTGTTAAGTATGACGATAAATTTTCACTTTTGTTCTCGTACTAGGAACAACAAAATTATTTATTTTGTATAAATTATTTCCGTACTCCATGTATACCTTACTACAAAATTATTTTAATTTACCTGTGTACGTTATTTTATTTGGCGGCATTTTGTCCAAGGTTATGGTTGTCTTTCTGATATTGTTTTATATCTAACCCCCTTGTTTTATTAATTTTGTATTTACATTGTGTCATAGATCAAATTTATTCGTTCAGTGTATGTTCACTTGTTTTTGTTAATATGTCTTTTGATTGAGTTAAGCCATTTCAATTGATATTTTATAGTTTGTCTTTCTATGTTGTGATGTAACACTATTGTTTCAGGTAGGGTGAAGAAAGGCTCTTAAAAGGTTTAAACACTCTGCATTTGTTTGCACCTGTCCTAAGACAGGAACCTGATGTTCTGTGGTTGTCGTTTGTTAGTGTGGTTCATAAGTGTTTCTCGTTTCTTGTTTTTCAGATAGATTAGACCGTTGGTTTTCCTGTTTGAATGGTTTCATACTTGTCATTTTTGGGGCCCTTTATAGCTTGCTGTTCGGTATGAGCCAAGGCTCCGTGTTGAAGGCTGTACTTTGACCTATAATGGTTTACTTTTACAAATTGTGACTTGGATGGAGAGTTGTCTCATTGGCACTCATACCACGTCTTCTTATATCTATGTTAACTGTTGTGTCTACTTACTAAACAATTTATTGTTAAAGTTCTACAAGTCAAATGTACAACCAAATTCATGAAATTATAACATATTTAGAAATGGCAGAGAAACACTTGAAGGTAGAGTCTTTTAACTGGTTGAAAAATGGCTCACTTAAGTCATAGAAGTGGAACGAACATCTTTCATTGCTGATGGTGAAAAAGAATGGGTAAAAGTAAAGATGAAAAACAAACAAAGACTAGGTAACTCCCCAGGATCATTTTACATGCCATATTATGAACAGAAACATCTGGAGGACCTCAAAAAGTCATTTGAAATCTTTGAAGATAGAACATTACAAACATCATCTTAACAGGAGATTTCAACTGCCCTGATATAAGAAGGGACCTTTTAACAGGACAAGGAATAAGGAAGTATAAGTTTTTCTTAGGAAAGAAGTAAAAGGGGGAGGTGGAGAAGGGAGTAACCAAATCAAAATATTTACAAATTATATTTTAATTATTTATGCACTTGAATTTTCAATACTAAATATACTGAAAATGTAACTTATTTTCATTTCTGCTAATGCATATCATGTGCGTAGCTACGTTTACGTCAAAATGCACGAGCCTGCACATAAATTTTGAAGAAAAAAATATTTCAACCCAAATAAATTATAAGAATTGATTAAAAGCACATGAGCCTTGTAATTTTTTCTTCAATGACTTGTAATTGGAGATAAAAGACAAAGTGACGAAATATACTTTTTAATCAAATGGTATCATTTTTTAGGTACTTTTAGGTCATGTACATGTAAGCTCTGTAACTGTTTCAGTTCTTATACATCCTTGGCTTTAAAATATTCGGCTTTGAGCATTCCTGATGAAGGTAAATCCAGAAAAGCGCTTTGAACGCATGAAATTAATAACGTGTTATTTTCATATTTTATATTATATATTTTTTCATTTTCTGTCAAAGTCTGAATCTACAGTGAATTCTACTCAGTTTAGTTTTCATAGTTTAAAGCAATTATCTGCAGAGATACGATGCGGCTTGCACTTTTATGTTACAGTTCAATATTTATTTTTACCTTACACTTGCCCATCTATGAAAATTAATTGGGACATGTGTCCATTAACAAAATTTGAGTGTAAAAAGGTGAGTAAACTAGATAAGGTAAAAAAAAAATCAATAGAACGACAACATTGAAATGGAGACTTGCTTTTTTACTATCGATAGACCGTTTTGATTTTTTGTCGATTGATTGTTTACCCCACATCTCCTTTTACTGTGACTTGACTGTTAGTGTTGCTCTCCACCTATTACAACTTATTCAAAATTCTGACCAAATTGCAATTTGTTTTTTTTTAAACCAAACTGTTCAACTGTTAAGAAATTTGAACAAACTGCTGTAGAAAACCACAGTCAAGTCGTGAAAGTGCAAGGTGATAAAATAAAGCATACTTACAATCCTATAAGACTTTAATTCCACTTCAATGATATTATGAAAAATCAGTCTAACAAGTTGTATACAAATTTTATTGGAATTGTCATGCTAGAGGTGATAGGTAGTAATTTTGAATATAGTATACGGTATGGGTTTTTCTCATTGTTGAAGGTTGTACAGTTGCCTATAATTGCTTACATCCACTTCATTTGAATTTTGGTGGATAGTTGTCTCATTGGCAATCATACCACATCTCCTTATTTTATATTAACCAGAAAACTTAACATTGAAAATTGGTAATTAATTGAAATTACTATATTTTGTTTACAGGTCAAATACTTTTTGCTTATCATAAATTGACTTGTTGAAATCATATTTTGTTTTAAAATAAAGGGAGAGAACCCATGAAACATGCAAAGGAGTAGGCCCGGTAAGAGCCTTTTTTGGCCCCAAACTAAAGCATTTCTTTTTGAAACTGGTAGGGAGACAGAGTTTTCCATTCGGCATTTAAGCCGGGTGTGCCAACCACCTTCTTTTGAAAGCCGACCACCTTTCCATTTAAGGTGGTGGTTGGCTTTTTTTCAAATTCCGAATTTTTTTTGGTTATTGGTTGAAGGTTGTACAGTTGCCTATAATTGCTTACATCCACTTCATTTGAATTTTGGTGGATAGTTGTCTCATTGGCAATCATACCACATCTCCTTATTTTATATTAACCAGAAAACTTAACATTGAAAATTGGTAATTAATTGAAATTACAATATTTTGTTTACAGGTCAAATATTTTTTGCTTATCATAAATTGACTTGTTGAAATCATATTTTGTTTTAAAATAAAGGGAGAGAACCCATGAAACATGCAAAGGAGTAGGCCCGGTAAGAGCCTTTTTTGGCCCCAAACTAAAGCATTTCTTTTTGAAACTGGTAGGGAGACAGAGTTTTCCATTCGGCATTTAAGCCGGGTGTGCCAACCACCTTCTTTTGAAAGCCTACCACCTTTCCATTTAAGGTGGTGGTTGGCTTTTTTTCAAATTCCGAATTTTTTTTGGTTCCGCACCATAATAATTTTAAATACTAATCGCGCCTCGCTGATTTGTTTTCATTGACAATAAAGTGCTTCGCCGAGCGCAGCTGGATACAACCGCAGAGGTCCAACCCTGAACAGCTGGGCAAAAATGGACACAATATTCAAGCTTGATACAGGTCTGAATTTGGATTGTAATTAATTATTTGACACATTATAGGTTTCTGACACAGAATAAATGTAGTCAAAGAACTTGAAATTGGTTATATGATTTGAATTTATATTCAATTGAAGATTTTCTTGCTGTTGTGCAATACACTGTTCTGTTGTGCAATACTTAGTAAATCTGTTTTCAGACTATATACAAAGAATTAGCAAAATAAATTGCGACCCCCAATTTTTTTTGTGGAAAATTGATAATTTCTTAAATCTGGAGGAAAAAAATTGACCCCCGACCCCCCCCAAAAAAGTTTTTTGTTACCCCCCCTTCCAAACAAAATAATATTTGAAGAAATTTTCTTTTTGTAAAATGTGGTACAATTTAAGAGACATCCATACACTTAAACACAAGTTATTGTCTGAAAACTAGAAAAATGTTTGTTTTGGCCCCTTTTTGGCCCCTAATTCCTGAACAGTTTGGGCAATTACCCCCAAAATGAATCCCAACCTTCTACTTGTGGTATTGAACCTTGTGGTACAATTTCAGAGCAATCAAAATACTTATACACAAGTTATTGTCCTGAAACTAGAAAAATGCTTGTTTAGGGCCCCTTTTTGGCCCCTAATTCCTAAACGGTTGGGACCATCACCCCCAAAAACAACCCCAACCTTCCTAGGTGAGATAAACAAAAAAGCTTCATCAGCAACATTTTATATTGGCAAATTTCCAATGAAGTTCATTAAACTAAAGTTATTGGCAAATTTCCAATGGAATTTATTAATAATAAAAGTTTTGGCAAATTTCCAATATACATAATTTAAAAGCAGTTTAGGTGAGATAAACAAAAAAGCTTCATCAGCAACATTTTATATTGGCAAATTTCCAATGAAGTTCATTAAACTAAAGTTATTGGCAAATTTCCAATGGAATTTATTAATAATAAAGTTTTTGGCAATTTCCAATATACATAATTTCAATTACCAACTTTACACTGCCTTTTAAATTATGTTTTGTACTTAATTGTCCATTAACCTGGAAACCCTTTTCCCCCCTTTTTTGCACCTTATTCCTTAACGGTTTGAGCCATAACTCCCAAAGACAATTCTTACCATCCCTTTGTGGTATTCCAATATCCAAAATCTAAATACATGGTTAGATTCAGCATATCAAAGAACCCCAAGAATTCAATTTTTGATGAAATTGAATAAAGTTC